GATTTAATAAATAAATTTGGCAAAGTAGCAGGATACAAAATAAATATCCAGGAGTCAGTTGCATTTTAATACACCAATAATGAATGATATATCACAAAGGGAAACTACGGAAATAATCCCATTCATAATTGCTTAAAAAAAGATACCTAGGAATAAATTTAACCAAGGATGTAAAATGTGTTGGAAGGTATTCCATCTCTCTCTATTATCTGAAAGAGTTTGGATAGGGTTGATATTATTTTTTCCTTAAAAGCTTGATGAATTTCACCAGTGAAGCCATCTGGTTTAGGTTTTTATTTGTAGAAAGATTTTTAGTCACTGATGAAATTTCTTTCCTTGACTTAGGTCTATTCCAATTTTCTATTTTTTTCTTGAGTTGGTTTTGGTAATTTATGCATTTTTAGGAATTTTTCTATTTATCTGAGTTTTGAAGTTCCTTAGCATAAAGTTTCTAACAGAATTTTATAAAATTCTCTTTTGAGGACAAACTTCTGGCCCTAGCTGGGTAGCTCAGTTGATGATGTCAGCATCATCCTGACATAAAAGCCAGAAACTACAGAAATTCTCCCCCTCCAAACAGGTTTAAAAATTAGCAAAATATAAGGAAACAGAATCCAGCAACATACAACGAAGATAAATTGGACTTTATTAAAATTTAAAACTGTTTTGCTTCAAAAGGTATCATGTAGAAAATGAAAACAGTCACAGCTTCCAGTCAAGATGGTGGTGCAGGTAAATGCGGTACTCATTTTCTCCCTCAACCACATCAAAATTACAACTAAACTATAGAGCAACCACCATTCAGAGCCACCTGAAGTCTAGAGACTAGTAGGAGGGACAGAAATGTGGAACCGACTGGTGCCACTCTCATGTGTGGTGGATAAAAATCAGGAGGGATATCGCCACTTCAGAGGTCCCAGCCCAGGGTTCCCGTGCCAGGAAGAGAAGCCCCCGTAACTCCTGGCTGTAAACACCAGTGGGAATTGTTGCTGAGTGAGACGGAGGGCTTCTGGAGTCCTAGGCCTCACAGGGACTTATTTGGACTCCCTCCCTCTGAACTCCAGTGCAGGGGCAGCAGCTAGAAAGGCACCAGGGACACACAGAGGAACTGAATTGCCTGGCGCCAGGGCAAGAGCTAGAGGGGCATCCTTCTCCCAGACAGAAGTGCAGGCAGAAGCCATTGTTCCTTTTCTGAGCCAGCCCCCCACAGAGTCGGCTGGGGGGGGGCACCACATCTAAGTCTCCATCAACCTGGCTATCAGTGTTTGCCCTGCCCTGGTGATTCCCCGAGGCCCTGCCCCACCCAACTTGCAGACCTAACCAAGTTCTTTCCAGTAGCTTTTACACATGAATGGCCTATACTCAGAAAATTATATGACACTGAAGAAAGAAAGTTAAGAAGATACACATAAGTGCTCATAGATAGGAAGAATTGACATAATTAAAATGTCCATACTACCCAAAACAATCTACAGATTCAATGCAATTCCTATCAAGATACCAATGGCAAATTTCACAGAACTACAACAAATATTCCAAAAATTTATTTGGAACCACAAAAGACCCCAAATAGCAACAATGATCTTGAGAAGGAAGAAAGTTGGAAGTATCATGCTACCCAATGTTAAACTATACTACAAGCCCACAGTAATCAAGATAGCATCGCACTGGCATTAAAAGAGGTCTATAGATGAATGGAAAAGAATAGAGAGTCCAGAAATGAACCCACACCTTTAGAGTCAGTTAATATTTGACATAGGAGACAAAAACACACAATGGGCTAAAGATAGTCTATTCAATAAATGGTGTTGGGAAAATTGGACAGATATGAGCAAAAAACTGAAACCAGACCACCTTCTTATACCTCACACAGGAATAAACTCAAAATGGATAATCTGGGACTAGGGGGATTTGGGTGATGGATGATCTAAAGATTATGGTTAATTGTTGTACAACTATATTATTTTAGCAAAACCTACAGTAGTACACACTTACAACTGGTGAATTTTATGGTAAATAAATTGTACTACAGTGGTGTGTATTAAAAGTAAAATACACCTCGATAACCAAGATTTTAGAGCAAGACATATGTATGTATAATATTATCCCATTTATATTAAATACACTACATATATTCAAGTATATGCTAGGTAAGAGTACGAAGTTTCTGAATATATACAAAAAACATATTAGCCTTTGGGAAAAAACCCTGAAAATCTGGGACAGGACATAATTACTTTTCATGGTATACCTTCTGACACTATTTGCTTAAAAAATTAAAATATGGCCCTGGCTGGTTTGGTTTGGCTCAGTGGTTAGAGCATCGGCCTGTGGACTGAAGGGTCCTGGGTTCTATTCCAGTCAAGGGCATGTATCTGGTTGCATGCTAGATCCCTGGCCCTGGTTGGGGCTCATGTGGGAGGCAACCAGTCGATGTATCTCTCTCACATTGATGTCTCTCTCTCTCTCTCTCTGTCTCTCTGTCTCTGTCTCTCTGCCTCTCTCGCTCTCCCCATCCTTTCCACTCTCTCTGAAAGGCAATGGAAAAAATATCCTAGGATGAGGATTAAAAAAAAAAGAAACCATGTACATTATTACTTTTTAAATAAAAACATCCTAGCAAATAATTAAAACAAACAACCATGATCCTGTTGTAAGGACCCAGACCAGTGAACCTGCTCTTGAAGATCTATACTTATCTGAATGAGGCCATGAGCACTTATGAGTAGCCTCTACTAATATAATAAAAATGAATTTCATCACAAAACCATAGTGTTAATTCCTAGTAATTTCAGAGACATGAATGTAAATTGTGGGAATTTGTGGAAACACAAGAGGTTTTTGACTAGAAGTACTGTAAGCATCACAGTGTACTACATCCTGTAGTTTTACACTAGCGACAAAATAAAAACCAATTCTTCATCCCCAAACACAAACAGAATGCAAATAAAACTGCATATTCGAGGATTAAATGGGGGTAAGAGGAAAAGAACAAGCAAAAATAGGGTATTCTAGGTGCTAGTAGGCACACAACAGATGTTTTCAGAAAAGGTACTAATTGCAAAAGTATAAATAAATACATATTACATAATAATATGTAATATAATAAATACATATAAACAATCCCAAATTACCTTTATCTGCTGCCTTTAAAAAAGTCATTATATATAAAATGTTTCGAAACTTGTTTCTATGAATCATATAGTGTATACTGCATATTGATTTTCAGTTATACCTTTTAATATCAAGAACCTGTTACAAAGATTTGATTTTCAATTGCATATTATGAAGGTATGACTATTTAATTAAGAATATTTGTTTTAATCTTAAATAAGCCAGGAGAGAAACTAAAATATACTGTCAACATTTAATTATGAAGAGTCAAGAACTATTTTGTAACAAGGCCTTAAGAAGGTAAAATTTTAGATTTAGGATTGTTTTGCTATCACATTTTTTTCTTTTTTCATATAAGAACTCTACTTTGCATGGTGTTGCTCACAAGTACTTAGTATTTGGTGTCCCTTTTGACACAAGGAAGCATACGTAAGTACTTCCTTGAAGGGGAAACACCTGCAGAGAAGGGCAAATAAATCATAAAAGGCGCTTCTTTCAGCTTGGACTACTTCATTTGCATTTCAAACTGGCAGGGCTCTCATGCTGTTTTTAGTACTTTGAATAGGCAATCACATATGTTTGCCACATGTGTGTTCTTCACACATGAGTTCCTCACAGTAATGCTCCTTCGGATCCATCCCTCTGTAGCTTCAGTGCTAATTTAGAACCAACAGACATTTAATGAGCACCTATTGTGGACCATCCAATACTAAAAACACTACCATCAGGTTAGGTAGTATTATCCCAATTAAACAGATGAGACATCTGGTTAAGTGGAAAACCAGGTCTTAGCCTGAGTGCTTTCACTTATATGTTTTCAAGTATCCTCTCTAACTGCCATCCTTTCCTACTTTCTCTCCCTTGTTTCATGGATAATCAAGAGCAAAGTAGTAGAGACATGCTTAGCTTCATCCCTTCCCCACAGAAAGGGTAGAAGGGGAAAAACATCCAGGGTTCAGAGCTCCTACCACATTCCTCACTGCTCCCTTTTCCACATATCACCCAGAATATGCAGCCCAGAACTTAGCCCCAACCCTGTTCCATAACTTCCTTTTCAGGTCCTGGAAGGCACTATGTGTAATTATTGCTGGAGCAGCCCCTATAGTAGTGGAAGAAGTGTCCTGAGTAGCCCTACTCACAACTCTGAAAGATTTTTCTATGGTGACACAGCTACCGGTGATCTTTATGGGGACTATCAAGACTATACAGGGGCTTGGAAGGGGTTGAACCAGCTTCTGTGTGCTAGCCTGGAATCCTAAGCACAAATCAGAGCATTGATTCCATTGGAAAATCAGGTTTTTAAAGTTAAGTCAATGGGAAACCAGTTTGAGATCTCTACAACTGATACATCAACAAACTTTTGGACTATAACCAACTCATACCTGGGGATTCAATGTTTACCCTCCAAGTTCATAACAATATGAATCTGTAAGACTGAAAGCACTATTTTTGTTGTGTTTAATATAATATAGGGAAAGATATATTCTCAAAATTAAAAACAACACAGCTTCCTGGAGTCACGTTTTTCTCTTACTCTTTTACCTTTATTTATTATTATTATTTTTTAAATATGTTTTTACTGATTTCAGAGAGAGGAAGAGAGAGATAGAAACATCAATGATGAGAGAGTCATTGATAGGCTGCCTCCTGCACATCCCTTAGGGAGGACTGAGTCCTCAACCTGGGCATGTGCCTTGCCCAGGAATTGAGCCATGACCTGGTTCATAGGTTGATGCTCAACCACTGAGCCATGCCAGCCGGGCTTACCTTTATTTTTTAAAGTATAATTTCATTTGACTCTAGAGGAACTTCCATTTTTGCAATATTATTGTAAAGGTCCTACTATTTTACCTGCATATTTAATTGCTGAGCCAGTTTTATCTTACCTCCTCGATGGATAATCAAAGAAGTCTCGCTTCCGATGGGGCAGTCCTTAAGTATATCCACTACTTCTGTATGGCTCAGGTTCTGTACATTCTGCTGGTTGATCTCAACAATGAGGTCGCCTTCACACAGGCCAGGGCATCCCTGAATGTCAAGTATTTGTTTCACCCGCTGTCCTGTAGGGCTGTCAGCAATAGTGAAGCCAAAGCCCTGGGCACCTTTCACAATGGTTAAGGTCATGAGTTCAGCTTGGGTGGCCCCAGACGAAGCCATAGACACATTGTCGTCATGGACAGGTGGTGGATACGTGCCATCTAGCTGACCATCTGCTGGCATTGAGTGCAAAGAATGAGGCGGCCGATCTGTTATATCTGGAACTGACTGTGAGGTCCGAGAAATGTATTCCAAGTATGTTTCATAGTTATGTCTTCCATTGACCATCACTGGAGGTGGCCTCTCCATTATTGCAAGGGGTGGCACCATGCTGTTAGCAGGATCTTCAGGATCAAAGGGCAAAGGGTAGCCACGACACAGCACCAGGCTCACACTCTGACCAATAGGAACAGACTGGAAAAGTTTGACTACATCTGCATGAGTGTGTCCAAGGACACAAACTTCATTAATATAGACAATGACATCACCTGCAAGGAGAAAAGAAAGAGATTGACAATGTGAGGTAAGTTCAATTAACGTTGACATAGAGAAATGGAATTATTTATGAGACTAGTGAAAGTGGTGCTGTTTCTCAGTAAGCAGTGAGGAAATCAATTAGAATAATATTTAAATTTACTGTAGGTGACTCAAGGTTACAACAGGTCTGCCAACAAATATACTGATCAAATGCCGAAAAAAGTGCTATATAGTTATTTTTGAGGTTCAGAAATAACTTCATATACAGAAAGAAAAGGTCAGAAAGAAAAGTTTAGAAGAATTTGTACCTTGAAGAAGCACTCATTCTATGCTTCATTTTCATCTTCATTTCCATCTTCACTGCATTTCAATTAATAAAATTTCAAATTATTGAGAAGTGGTGGGCATAAATTTTGGATTAAAACTTTGGCACCCCAGTACATGGTTTTATTTTTGGTATCACTTGTCTGAGTCAACTGTCTTTTATCTTTATTATAGAAGAGAAAAATATTTTGCGTATTTATATATTTTTATCTATAGCAAGGTGTAATTGCAAAGGTTCCAAGTATACATAAGTAAAGGTCAAGAGCACAGTTATTAGAATCAGGGATCTGGGTCCATATCCTGGCTCTACTATGTAGCAGATATGTGATATTGGGCAAAAGACTTACCTGCTTTGAGCCACGGTTCCTCATTTGTAAAGTTGTCATGAGGATGAAAGGAGATAATGCAGAAAGTGCATGGTACAGTGCCTGATGCATTGTGAGTGCTCAGTAAATGTGGAACATTATTAATGTTATTATTGCTAAAAATAGGATGGAGATTTGGACTCTTGCTTTGAAACAGGGAGCTGCCATAGACTCATCTTCTCCTCTTACATAAGTTGATATTTTTGTAGATCTTTTGAAAAAAGGCATTTGTCCTCTCTCCCAATGAATTAACATAGTTACAGTAGTCCACTGGTTAGAAGTAACTTAAGATATTAAAAATACTCCATATGCAAATTATTCATTATAAAATATATTCAGACAAGTAGTATTTTTTTCTTAAAATGTGTTTGAAATAATTGTTGTTTTTTTTAAAAAAATCAATTATGTCTGAATAACAATTTTACTTTTGGAGAACTGTTTTATCACTGGTTAATATTTTTATCCTCATAAGCCATAATGTTTGAGAATTAAACTTGCAAATTGAGATTGTGCCTGGCTATGCTGAAGAGTATGTGAGGAATGAAAAGACATGTTTTCATAGATTGTCACACAAGTAACTCAACAGACATCAATTAATTAGGATGATTCTGAAACGGGTAGTGTAAATGGCCAGGGATTTCATTCTAATACATCCTTGCCCATCAAAATTGCAAACACCCAAAATGAAAAAGAGTTAAACTTTCGGAGTTCAATACTTTTCTGTCCTTTCTTAGGTGTCTGTTATAAAATGAGTTATCTACTAACTTCACTCAAAAATAAATAATAGTATGAATAAAACACTCCTGAGTAAACTGCCCTCAACAATATAGACTTGGTTAACACTCACTTTTTCCAAATGCTAGAGAATTGCTTAAAAACTCTAAAGATAAGGAGACAGAAAAGTCAAGCAAACACGTTCAGGGATCCAGGTTAGGCCTGATTCTAGAAAATATTACAGACTATGTGACTGATCACATTCAACTTCACTCTCCAATTATGCCTATCAGAAAGGGTGCTAGTGCAATGGCTGGGACTTTGGACCAGGACTCAGCACTGAACTGGGATGGATGATCTCCATATGATTCCTCACTAGACGGGTAGTGGGGGTTTTTGGCATCATTTTCAACTGGTTCCGGTCATCCCAGGGAAGTAACTGATCCAGGCAATTTTTTTTCCTTCTTCTGCTGCTTCTCTATTTTTAAAGTTATATATTTTACACATTAAAGGTTGAAAGAATAGTAAATAGCTGTGTACAACCTCCCTACCATCTAGCTTAATGATTAGAACATTGCTCATATTAGTTGAAAAGCCCTGGATAGCACCCCTCTCCCACTAGTATCTTCTTCCTGCTGTTTCCAAAGTAACCATTGTCCTGCATTTGAGGTTATTCACATGCACTCTACATTTTATGATATATCTAGGCACCCACAAATAATATCTCTAAATAATATTTAATCCCTGAATAATAATATCCTTATATGTTTTTGCATATTTTAGACCTTCTGTAAATGATATACACATTAATCTTCTGTAATTTCCCTCAAAATATATTTGTGATATTTATCTACTTTGATTCCTGTACCTCAAATTCATTAACTTTCATTGCAATGTAGTATCTATTGGATGACTATTACATCACCTTAATATTCATTCATTCTTCTGTTAATGGACATTGGGGTTCTTGTGAATTTTTGGTTGAAGATAACTCTGCAATGAACCTTTTTTCATGGCCTTTGTGTACATATGGAGTGTCTTTCTGAAGAATGAATTTTGACATAGGACTTCTGGGCATAAGCCATGTGCAGTTCTTCACCTTTGTTAGATAATGACAAATGGCTGACAAAATAGGTCAAATTGATTTACACTCCCATTGGTAACGTATCAGAAGTTTCATTTCTTCCTATCTGACACAGTACTTGGCATTCTCAGACTTTTAATTTTTGCTGATCTAATGAGTGTGATCATAGTTTTAATTTGCATTTCCCACATTGCTAGTGAGGGTGAGAAGCTTTTTGTATGTTTATTAGTCATTTGGGTTTTGTTTGCATTACATTTCATTTTCCCATTTTTCCAATTTGGATAGTTTTTTGTTTGTTTTTTAACATAGTGACTATTCTTCTGCCCATTTCCACTCCTTTTTCTTTTAATATGTCTTTATTGATTTCAGAGAGAGGAAGGGAGAGGGAGAGAGAGATAGAAACATCAATGATGAGAGAGTCATTGATTGGCTGCTTCCTGCACACAACATACTGAGATTGAGCCTGCAACCCAGGCATGTGACCTGACCAGGAATTGAACCTTGATCTCCTGGATTATAGGTTGATGCTCAATCACTGAGCCACCCTGGCCAGGCGGCCCATTTCCATCCTTGATCCAATATATTCTGTAGGTTTGGGAGGTTGTATGGTGTGATAGACATTATATGGGTTAGGGACTCAAATGCCTTTGGTCTGATTTCCAGCTCCACACTTACTAGCTGTGTGACTTTCAAAACTAACTTAAATCCTTCGTGACTCAGTTTCTTCAGAAGTAATGAAGAACAATAATAATAGCAACTTACTGGTTTAAGAGAAATAACAAATGAGATCATGCAGGTGAAGGAGTTTGTAAACTATAAATTGTTATGCAAAGGATGATTGCTACTTCAGTAATTATTATCTGTCTTTAGTTACATCCTTCTATAAAATCAGCACAGTCCCACAAAGATGTTCCCACCATAGTCATAATCAAGGATAAGTATCAGTTTCTGAGTAGGCAAGTCAAAGGCAAGGAGGTAACCAATGATACTTTCCTCTAAGGTTGTCCCTAACTTTAATAACAAACTCTCCAACCCCCAGGCATGATGAATCCTTCCCTCTGCTATGCCAGAAATTCATGAGGGGAAAAAAATTAAGGTAATGTTCAAAGTTCTCAAGATTCCCTGCCAGGTCTGCAGAGTAGTTATTTGAATTATAGTGATTAATGTTACCTATTTTTGAGTTTCAATGTGATCTTGCTATTTAGAAACAGAATGAGAGAACTATTTGTGGTTCTTAGTAAGACTGCCTTTTATAATTTATGGATATTTTCCACTTGGAGCAATTTTTCAAGTCCTCGAGAAAGCGAGTGATAAAGAACCCTACAACAATATCTTTGTGTAGCTACATAGATTTCTGAATGTAAAATATGAGTAGTAAATTATCAGAGTTAATACTATCTAACAACTTGACAGTATTCAACTGCTCACTTTAAAAAATATATAGATGCCTAGACATGAGTCATGCAAAAATTGTTGTAGGTGGAGATGTAAGCAAACATTTGCTTGTATAGATAGAACTGATTGGGGAGGATATTTATAGACTGTGCTGTATGAATGTCATTTACATGTTGTGAAATGAAAATATGAGCCACCTGGTATATGTCATTTGATGGTGCCATGCCAAGTCCTGGGACAGACTGGGCTTAAGAGCACAAAAAAGGATGTCATTAGGAAAATTGGCGCTAGCCCCAACCCTGCTGGCCTACTTAAGAGAGAGAATTGGAAAAGAATCATTTGATCTATCTTTCAATTTACTCTTTTATAAAATGGGAATTAAAATATCTCCATTATTTTCTATTTCACAGGGCTACAGTGAGAATGAGATCATGCTTGAGAAAACTTTTAATTTTATCAACGAAAGATCTTCCATTAAAATAAGATGATGCATTTCTTTTGAAAGCCAAGCACACATTTTCATTGCCACATTGTCTGCAAGGTTACACTGTTTCCTCTATGGCCATTCACTTCAGGCCATAGTGAGGCCAGAAGGTTCTAGGGCTACTGACCTCAAGCCTTTTGGTTAAATGTGTTGTGATTGATGAGCTTGGCATCCCCATATGGCTGGTCTCATAATGACCTGATACCCAGTTATGGGAAGGAGCAAGGGAAGGAGAGTGAATCTGATGAAGCAGGAGGTTTAAACCTGCTGGACTCTATGGGAAAATGTTCTAAGATAATGTCTTTCTTAGACATGGAAATCAAAATATAATATTGGATACCTCTTGGGCACTTCATCATTTTGGATAAAACAGGACCCTCTTAAAGCATTGCTTAAAGTGGGTTTATTTTTATGCCTCTTTTCTATGCTTCCACATATTTGAGTCACTGTGGCCTGCAGAATCTTCCTTTCAGCCTCTGCCACTTATCACTTGCTGTCTACCTTCTTCAGCCACCACCCTGGACAAGACAAGAATAATTCACTTCACACTTCATTCTCATCCTATAGTCTCCTCTATTGAGATAAACTACTCAGTCTTTAGACCTACTGTTTAAGGCTTTTTGCCAAAAGTCTTTCCAACTTCTT